GATTGCTTGTGAGCTGGATTTTCTGCAAGCTGTGTGGCTTGGTTGCTTATGGAATCAAGTGGTTTTGGGATTTTTGTAAGCTAAAAAGCTTAATTGCTTCTGGATTTGAAGGCTTTTGAGATCCTTTGATCTTTGATTTTGTCAGTTTGACTGAGAGTTTGTGGCTTTGGCCATTTTGAATTGTTTGTTTGATTGAGTTTTTTTTTTTTTTTTTTTTTTTGGGGTGAGGAATATCTTCCCAAGTAAAGTTCTTTTCTTGCCTCAGAATGGTGAGGACTTTAATAATTTATCACAGTAAAAGCAATTGGGAGTTCTGGCCAAAATAAAAGCTTGGAACAATAAGTCAAACTGATTGAAAACAAAGATGACCTATTTTTCAAAATTAAAACAAAGTAAAGCTGCCATTTCTGCTTGAAAGAAAGGGGTAGCAGGAGCTTGGACTTTCACTTCTGCCTAGATTATGATCTGTGAGCCTGGCTGGACTGGATGTATCTATACTGGAATTGCTTGTCAGTATCTTCAACTGGTGGGACTTAGCTAGAAATCGATACCAATGTTGAAATTGGCAGAGCTTTAATCTATTTTAGCCATGGAAAGGCTTGCTGGATAGGCAGAATTGTCGTTCGTCAGTCTTGACTGGGCTGGAAGTGGCTGGATTGATGATTGGCGGTCTGGAGCTGCACCAAGGTACTTGTTCTGCTTGATGTGAAATCAAGGCAAGAGCTGGGAGCTGTTCTGGCTGTTATGAGTACTCAGAAGTACTTCTGGAAATTTGTTGAGGTTTTCTGCCTATGGAAAAACTAGAGTTCCGTCTGATTTGGCTTGAGTTGAACCAAATTTGTAACGACTGAAATCTCGTTTTTCTCATTTGTGAGCTGTCTATTTGAGTTGGATTGCTTGTGAGCTGGATTTTCTACAAGCTGTGTGGCTTGGCTGCTTCTGGAATTGAGTGCTTTTGGGACTTTTGTAAGCTAAAAATCTTAATTGCTTCTGGATTTGAAGGCTTTTGAGTTCAATTGATCTTTGATTTTGTCAATTTGACTGAGAGTTTGTGGCTTTGGCCATTTTGAATTGTTTGTTTGATTGAGTTGTTGGAAAGATTTTTTGATTGTTTTTGGTGTCCCGAATGAGTTCTCATCCTTCTGAATTTATAGGCAAAGTTCAGAGTGCTCTCCCCTTGTTACCTGGCAATCACTTGCTGCAAAATCCCTTAATTATTGCAAAAACCCAGCTCGTTTTGTCGAGATCTTGGTGGTTTCCTTATTTGTCAATCCAATTTGTAATGATGATTAATCCCTTATCTTTCTGCCTTTTGCCCATCCCCACCGGTTTCCTGAAATTCCTCTGCCTCTTTTCAACTTTAGTTCACGTGGGCTTTGTGATAGTGGGAAAATTCCCTTTTCTTGTCTGCTGGCCTAGGATCCAAAGGTGGTGATTGTCTTTCTGGGTCTTTTAAAACAGGCTGTAGCTAAATTGAAGGCTGGGTGTCTGTTTGAAATGGCTAGGCTTTGTTCAATTAATCTACCAAGAGTGGTAATTAATTTCTCACCAGAGTAATCCCTTGTAATTGCAAAAATTGATTTGGGTCTGTTCACTGTTTTGGGTTGACTTTCAAACTTTAATTGGGCACCAAGCCCAATCTGCGTTTTTTGTGTGAATTGATCTCTAGGGCCCAAAATTTGACCCGGGCTCTTTCAATGCTTTAGTGGGCTGGTTCTTAATTTCTTTCTAAAGCCCAAGCCTGAAGCTGTTCTGCCAAATGGGCTTCTATGCTATCAGAGTCCTTCTATTCTGGCCTCTCACACCTGGGTTAGTAAGAATATGAGCCGGTCCTTTCCCACCAGTGAAGTTAGGAGTAGTGCCGTGAAGTGGTCAGACTGGATTGACAGACTTCTTCCAAAGTTTGGAGACCATTGGAGAAGAGCTGGCCTATATGATGCTATAATTCTGTCTAAGCAGTCGGTGAATAGAGATGAAAATCTCTTGGCTACTGCCTTGTGTTTCTGGAATTCTACTAGCAACACATTTGATTTTCGCGTGGGCCCTATGACTCCAACCTCGCTGGACATGGCCCAAATCTTCTGCTTCAGGCCTCATGGAAGACCTGCTGATGCAGTGGGTGATTATCATAGAGGGAAGAATCGTGAAAATTTGGCGAAGAAGTTCACTATCTCTCCAACCACAATCAACCAGAATTGTTCTTTCTCCAATTATTTGAAGAAGTTCAGTATTGAAAAGGACCAAGATCAACAGCACATGCTGTTCCTTTTGTATTGGTTGAACATATTCATTTTTCCAAATCGTTCCTCAGCAGTTCTGCTCTAGACACATGTTGTTCCTTTTGTGGGGCTTGGTCCTACAGTTCTGGCACATCTGTACAAGAATCTTCACACTGCTTCCCTGGAGAGCCCTTTAAACATTTCTGCTCCTAGCGCGTTCTGGATGATCTAGGTCTGGCTACATGTATATTTCCCAGAACTGAGGTTTCCGGATATAGTTCTGCCTGAGGATCAGGTTCTGGCGCATTCTTTGATGTTTGCAGAAGTGCCCAAGCGCTCTATCGAGGAGTTCTTGATGTTCTTCAGACACTGCAAAAAGCATTCTGCTGTCTAGTGGCAAGTAGTGCTCAGAAGAACCTATCCTTGCTTCCACCCTGGATACAGGCTATTTGAGAAAGAACATGAGGGTGAAGAAGCCAGAATTGAGTTCAGAAAGAAGTTTTTGAGCGTGATGCTGCCTCGGGATCTCCCTTTTGGTGGTGGCAAGCCTCCAAATTATCACCTGGGTGGAGAGGTCTATCATCCAAACTTCTGTGCGAGGCAATTGGGCTGCCCCCGGCTTATTCCAGTGAAGTCCTATAGAAGCTGCAGTTGGGGTTCTTCCTGGAGAGACGCTGATGATTTGGATCTGCACAAGGACTGCAGATGTGCAGTTCTGCCGAGTTTGATGCTTGGTGGAAAGCTAAGTTTGCTGGCGTAGCAAGTGCAGGCGTTGCCGTGAAGGTGTTGTTTGCCAATTGGGATGCTGGAACTGTTCTAGCAGAAACAGAAGCTAGGAAGTTCATCGTGGAGATGATCAAGGGCATAAACTCCCAAGTGATTGAAGGTAAACCTCCAATTCTGTCTCTTTGGATTTTTGTATTCTGGAACGTGTTCTAACTCTATTCTGTCTATGGTTTCAGATCCCTCTATGGCAGGCAACCTTGCTGGACAAACTGTTCAGTCTGGACAAGTGTTTGGGGAGCTTTTGGATTCTGCCTCTGTGTTTAGTTATGTCTTGACTGATTTTTCTAACCTCTATTCCTCGTGCAGCCACTTCCATCATTGCAGCTGGGGATTTGGAGGTGACTCTAGGATAGGAGGATCCTGATCGCGAAACTCAGGCTGAGAAAGCACCTGTTGAGGCAACCCTTCTCCTCCTCCTACCAAAGCAAAAAGGCTAAGAAAAAGAGCTGTGATTGAATCTGAAGGAACAGAAGAGCCTACAGCAGCTCCCACGGAAACTTCAGAAACCGATGAAGAGCTAAGGGAAGCTTTTGAAGCTGTGGAGCAGGAGAAAGAGGTCTCTAAGGGAGACAAGGAAAAAGCCAAAGAAGGGGAAAAAGAGGTAAGACTTCTTTTCAATCCTTAGCATAGAATTGCTTTACTCTACATTGTATTTCTCATAATGTGAATTATGTCTCTTTTTAGGAGGAGATTCCTGTTGAAGTGATAGCAGAGAGCATTGAGCTGGCCAAGAAGCATCAAGAGGCATAGAGAGCAGAACCTACACACTTAGAGCTGGCTTTGTTTGATGACATTGGTGCAGAGAACTCCACTGCTGCTCTAGAACCTGAGGTAGTCTTTTCTTTTCCAATCCTGTCCTGGTTTCTTCAATTTTGTCTAGCCCTGTCTTTTCTAATTTAATGCTTCTATCTTTCTAGGTGGAAGAGGCCAGAATAGCTGGAGAGTTGGTAATGGTGACCAGTCCTCTCAAACCTACAATTGGGGTTGTAAGTATCCTCGTGTCTTTAGAAATTTTCTTCCTTCTTTCAGTCCTGTACATAACTAATTTAAAAATTCTTTTCTGCAGATGCCTATTCATTCTGTCCTAGGATCAACCACCACGGCCTCCTTTGCTGATCCATAATTGGTAGAGTTTGAAGCTATGGACTTGGATGCTCAGCTGGACAAACTTGAGAAGCTGGGAGCCACTCCAAGCAAGTCCAAGTCCAGGGTAGTGGATGAAGCAGTAGAAAGGGTGAGGATCTGGCAGTGAACTGAGTTGGATTTGGATGAGAACAAAGAAGCCGTTGATCAGTTGATGAAGGATCTGGACCTTCTGCATAGGGAGAACATGGCTCCTAGACCTATTCTGGAGATCGGCTTGGTCTTGGCAAGGGATGTGCTCAACCTTTACAATCGTTATGAAGATCTCAAGCCCTCCTTCAATGCCTTTGAGTTTTGCAAGACCACTCACGAAGCCAACTTGGTAGATTATCAGAAGCAGAAGGCAGAACTAGACACACTGGTTGCATATTATAAAGAAACCAAGTCTTCTGTTGATAAGCTAGAAAAACACATAGAAGAACTGCAGAAATAGTTTGGCTGCCTTGAGGGAGAGGCAGAAAAATCTTGGGGCTGGATTGGGAGTGAAGACTAAGGCCACCTTTCTTGTGCAGAGCATGGTTTCTGCTTCAAAGCCTGCATTGGAGATTGCAGAGGCCTCTATCCACCAAGGGGTGCTTATTTAGAAAGAGATCTCCACCAAGAAGACTGGATTGCAGGAGACTCTTAGAAAACTAGGATTTTAGATTCTATCCTAATTGTAATAAAACTTAGTCGTATGAAAAATAACTATAATTTAATAAAAGTCCTAATTATTTTGTGGAACTTGTGTTTTCATTTTCTTCCAACCAAATGAAAATAAGGCAGAATTAAAACACACTAAAAAGAAAAACTGCAAGAACCAAATGAAAATTTAAACAACAGTTCTATCCTTTTCTCTTTTGAACCCAAGATCTATTTGTGCCTCCTGTGAATCCCACATAGTTGGATTGAACTTTTCAACCACTTGCCATTAATTGGTGCAGCCTGTATGTCTCCATCTTGATCCTGTAACCTGTATGCCCCTAATCCAAGGACTTGTTGAATTATGAAAGACCATTCCCATGTAGGTGACCATTTTCCATAACCGGCCATGTGTGTTCCAAGGGGCAGAACTGATTTCCAGACAACTTCTCCTTCTTCAAAACTCTTGTTTCGGACTCTTTTGTTATAGGCTCTTGCCACAGCTTGTTTTCCTGCCAAGAGTTTGTTGAGGGTACCAATTCTACTTGTATCCAACCCTTCAAATTCTAGCCACATTGCTTGTGAGTAGTCTTCTCCAACTAAATCATGTTGCTGGGCAATTCTGATGGACTGAACTGCAATCTCCATGGGCAGAATTGCATCATGTCCATACGTTAGAGCATATGGAGTCATGTCAGTTGCCTCCCTTTTTGAAGTTTTGTAGGCCCATAGAGTTTCTGCTAGCTTTTCATGCCATTGTTTTGGATTCTTCTCCTGCACTTTCCTGATGATGTTAATGATCACTTTGTTGCTTGATTCTGCCTGTCCATTTGCCTGAGCATAGTAGGGAGTGGATTGGAGCAGTTTGATTTTTAGCCCCTCTGCCATATCTAGCATTTCTCTGGATATGAAGGAAGTTCCCCTATCAGTTGTGATTGACTATGGTATGCCAAACCTGTGTATAATCTGTTCTTCAATGAAAGTGATGATTTCTTGAGATGCGGTAGATTTGACTGTCTTGGCTTCTACCCACTTAGTGAAATAATCTATAGCAACAATAATAAAACAATGTTGCTTGCTATTGGCTGGATAGATTTTGCCAATGAGATCCATTGCTCATCTTCTGAAAGGCCATAGTTTAACAACTGGATTCATGGGGACTGAGGGAGCCTGCTGGATTGGCCCATGTCTTTGGCAGGCCTCACATCCCTTGGAATATTCAATGCAGTCTTTCATCATGGTTGGCCAGAAGTAGCCGTACCTTCTGATTAGCCAACACATCTTTCTTCCACCTTGATGTGCTCCACAGATTCCTTCATGTACTTCTCCCATGTCCTTCATGTATTCCTCTTTTCCTAGGAATCTTAAGAGTAGTTCATCCTTGCTTTTTCGAACCAAATCTTCATTCTACATGAGATAGTTCAAAGCCATGATTCTTATTCTTTTCTCAGTAAGAAGGGTTGGATACTACAAATAACTCATTATGGGAGCTCTCCAATCATCTTTAGTTATTATGGCAGAATTGACATCAATCTCCATTCCTCTAGTCAGAATAGATAGCAAGCTCGTCTTTCCTACTTTGATAATTCTCTGCACACAGTCCTCAGGCATCTGTACTCCTATTACTATTTGAGCCATTTCATTGGCTGCAAAATTCTCTTCCCTTGGAATATGTTCCCAAGTGGCCTCCTTGAATTCTATCAAGAGATTTCTGGCTGCCACTAAATAAACAGCTAAGAAACACTTGTATTCTCCAAAAATCAGTTTTAGCACAAGCATGGAATCTCCCAGAATTTCCACAGATTGGATCCCCAATTCTACCAACATTTCAAGGCCAATGATCAGAGCTTCGCATTTTGCCCTATTGTTGGTGCATTGGAAATCTAGCTGGAATGAATAACAGTGTCTGATTCCTAATGGATCTTCCAAAACAATCCCAGCCCCAGAAGCTAAGTCAGTTTTAGATCCATCAAAATAAAAGCTTCCAAGGAGTGAGATGGATTGAATAAATGGGATTGTTGAGGCAGGTATGAGCTCTAGTTAGCAAATCTGCATTGGCTATATCGATCCATGGAATCCATGTTCTCAATCTCTTCTCCTAGATGATCTGCCAAGAAATCTGCCACAGCCTGTCCTTTGACAGCCTTCTAAGGAACATATTTGAAAGCAAATTCTGTTAAAGCTAGAGTCCATTTGCCAATTCTGCCTCTCAACATCGGCCTTGTCAGCATGTATTTGATCATATCTTTCTTGGCAATGACGTAGATGGTGAAAGGCAGCATGTAGTGTCTAAGCTTTATGGCAGTGAACTACAAGGCTAGACACAGCCTTTCAATTGCAGAGTAGTTCCTCTTTACTTCTATCAGAGTTCTGCTTACGTAGTCGACTGCCTGCTCCTTTCCTTCCCTGTTATCTTGGGCCAAAAAGCTTCCAATAGATGTCTCTGATGCAGAAACATATAGTTTGAGTGGTCTGCCTTTGGTTGGAGGAGACAGAACTGCAGGATTTGAGAGGTAACGCTTGATTTCTTCAAAAGCCTGCTGGTGCTGCTCTTCCCACCTGAATACCTGCTCCTGTTTTAATTCTAACAGTGAAGAAAAAGGTTGGATCTTTCCGACAGAATTTGATAAGAACCTTTTGAGAAAATTGATCTTTCCCAAGAGGCTTTGCAATTCCTTCTTGTTCCGAGGTGGTAGAGCTTCTATGATGGACTTTGCTTTGTTCTTGTCAACCTCTATGCCTCTTTAATGGACCAGGAAACCTAGGAAATTCCTTGCTTGGACCCCAAAAACACATTTCTTAGGATTCATTTTCAATTTGTGCTGGCACATCCTTAGGAAAGCTTTTCTTAGATTAAAGTACATGATTCTCTTTTTCTTGAGACTTGATGACTACGTCGTCAATGTACACTTCTAGGGAATGGCCAATCATATCATGGAACATAGAATTCATTGCTGTTTGGTAGGTAGCTCCTACATTTCTTAGGCCAAATGTCATTACAACATATTCAAATGCACCTATATGCCCTGGACACATGAAAGCAGTCTTGTGGATGTCCTCTTCTACCACCATTATCTGATTATACCCTGCATTGCCATCCATGAAAGACAACATTTCGTTGTGAGCAGCTCCATCCACCAGCATATCTGCCATTGGCATAGGATATTCATCTTTGGGAGATGCCTCATTCAGATTTCTGTAATCTACACAAATTCTGACGGCCCCTGTCTTCCTTTTAAGGACTGGCACAATGTTGGCCAGCTAGTCGGCATAGATGGCTGCTCTGATGAATCCTACCTTGAGCAATCTCTCTACTTCTTCCTTGACTTTTAGTTCTGTCTCCATAGACATTCTTCTTCTGGCCTGTTTAACTGGAAGGTATCCTTCTTTGATTGGCAGCTTGTGTTATACTAATCCTCTATCCAGTCCGGCATCTCATGATAATGTCATGCAAAATAGTCTCTGAAATCATGCAGAAGTGCAATGATTTCATTCTTCAAAGGGTTCTTCCAGCAGTGCACTAATAAAAGTGGGTCTAGGATCCTCTTCTGTCCCTAAGTTTATCTCCTGTAGAGGATCTTCCACTTCTGGTAAAGAATCATCCAATGTTGTTGGTGCAAATTCCAATTCCTCCTCCTGTAAACTCTCTTCATGCTCTTTAATACTCTCATGCGTGAATTCTGCCATGTTAATGGCCAGATCCTGCATAGAGAGCCTTCTTTCTCCCCAGTATATCAACAATCTATTTGTAATGGATCGAATTGTTGCTGCTCGATGCTTTTCTTATTGATTGGGGCTAAACATCAGAGTTCTGGAGGTTCAGAACAAGAGGTCTATTCCAGTCCTCTAGGGAACTAGCTAGACCTTTCTCAATGAGTCTCTGGGCCATGACACCATGGGGGTGGCCGTTCTGGTTGACTCCAAAGATAGTGAAAGGACCAAGGTCATCATGATAATACCTGGCTTCAAAATACATTGCAGATGGTAGAAATGGCCATGGATCGGCCTCTACTATCTCCGTGAAGCCCTCTTCATGCCAAAGGGCAATTGTTGGTGTAGAGTGGAAGGAACACATAGACTCTGGTGAATCCAGTCCCTGCCAAGTAATGCATTGTAAGTGGTAGAAGTGGTGTCCACCACAAAGAAAGCAATATTTAGCATCTTGGTTCCTACTATGACATCCACATCTAGTATTTCGTGGGTTTTTGGTGATGCCCCCAGCGAAATTGGTGACTGTTAAGCGCGTTGGAATCAAGTCCTTCTCTGTTCTACCTATCCTTGTCAACAACCTGTGGGGTAATAGATTGATGGCTGCGCCTCCATCCACCATCACTTTAGGGATAGGAATTCCTCCTAAGTTTGCAGTGATGAACAATGGTCTGAGGTGGTTGGCCATCTCCTTGGTAGGCTTGGAAAAGCATATTCCTTTTGCGGCTGTCTTGATGGCAGTTCTGTCGGTTATGGATGCAAAATTTTGCTGCTCTGGTACCTCTCTCCTTCCAAGGTACTTTCTTGTCCCTCTACTGCCCTGAACTGTTCTGGCAGGACATAAACCATGTTGACAGCTAGATCTCCCTACAGCAAGCTTTCCAGTTCTGTTCCGAAAGCCTGGGTTTCTTCATCAAGTTCTTCATTATATTCCGCAGTCCAGTTCTCTTGACCTTCGGTTTCGAGGAATGCAGCCTGGTCTTCTGCATATGGTTCATAATCTACATGCTCCTCTTCATATTCTTCTGTCCAGTCCTCTTGATCATCTGCTGGAAAGACTCTGGACTGTTCCTGTGAAGATGAAACCTAGTAAAAAGAGGATCCAGCTAAACTGTCCTGTTGGTGTGTTAGCTGTCCTGCTTGAATACTTCTTTCTGGATCATTCTTAATCCTGGCAGAGTTGACATCTGGGAAATTTTTTGTATCTCTGCTGTTCTTCAAGAATGTGCAATACTGTCTTTGGATTCTCCTTTTTTGTGTTATGGTTAGCTCCAAAGTTGGCCTACCATTCCTTCCAACAGAATACCATCTGCCATCTATGATTGTAGCCAAAGGTTAAACATTTCCAGGTAGTTTCACTGGCACTTCCTTTTTTGGCAGTTCGGCTACTTTCTTAATTTGTTGGGTAGGTCTGCTATTGAACCTCTGTCTGACTGTACTTCTGGATAGAATTGGCACTAGTGTCTGCTGAGATAAAGTTCCAATTCTGTCAAAGACATATGTGGCAAGTGGGGTCTGTTTGTCCAGAGCTATTTCTAGTTTGCATTCGCATTTACAACTGCTGCACAGAACTACTCCAGCTGAGATAGTAGCCTTTGGTAGTTGATTAGACCTTTTCGTGACTCTAGTTTGCTAACTTCCACTGTTACCTTGTCTTTCTCCTGTTTTGGCTAGTTTAAATTGACCATATTTACCTGTGGCTGAGGAAAAGGATCTGTAGTGACAGTAGGAGGCTTCTCAGCTAGCTTCAACTTTCCTGTGGTTATTCCCTCTTGTATAATGTCCCTAAAAACCACACAGCTATTGGTGGAGTGGTTCCAAGAGTTATGCCACTTGCAATACTGCCTGCCTTTGAGCTCTTCTGGCTTAGGCAACCTATGAGGCGTTTCTATTGCCTTTTGTAAGAACATTTCATCAAACAAGGCATCAACCTTGGTCAAATCAAAAGAATAGACCTTGTTCTGTGCTGGCTTGTTTGGGACAAACCCACCTGTGAACTTTGGTGGCTTGATCAAAGCCTTGCAGCTGATCAGGTGTTTCAACTTTGCCATTTCCGCCACTGCTATTTCCAATTCTGCATAATTCCCTTGGTCTTCTTCTGACTCTACTTCAACCAAATGGACTGAAGACGGTGGCGTTTTATAGTATGTGCCCTTAGAAGAATTTCTCTTATGTTGTTC